GTTGAGGGAAGTTGGGATAGTGATTGGTGGTTAGGGTGAGAAAAGATTTGATAAGATTTTTTCTATTAGAAAAATTTATATAGTATGGGATCCAGATATAGATATTGGAATATAAAATATCAAATAGAACTAAAAATTTGATTAAAGAAATTAGTATAAGATCTTTAAATGTAGAATGAAGAGAGAATGGATAGAGTTGAGAGAGTTGGGGATAAAAGGTAGGATGTGAGGAGATTTTCTATTCAAATTTTCTAAAATAGTGTATATATTTATTCTATACATGTGTTGATCAACTTGTCTTTGTTTGTTTGTTTTGTTTATTTGTTTATTTCTAACACATGTTTATTTGTTTTGTTGTTTGGTAATCTGCAACACCAGGTGAGAGACAGTGACCCAATTTTTTGAAAAAATTTTTAGAAAATTTTAAAAAGTTCATTTTTTTTATCAGTACAAAGTGAAGTTCAAGGTGAAACTTTTTGCTCTAACAAACTCTTGTTCTTTTTTTTTTGTTTTGTCTTTTTTTCTAAAACTGCTTCTAATGTTGTTTTAGTAGAGTTAGGATCTATTTGTAAATTTTTTTTTACTCCAGTTTTGGTCATAGTAATCAGTAGAGAGAGTTGATATTTTAAAATGAAATAAATTGGATAGACTAATTAAATATTATATAGTTAAAGTTATAAAACTTATCAATATTAATTATTGGGTTTAAAACATTATTGCTTTCATTTAAAAGGCAAACTATTATCATTACATAGTTCTGCTTTTTGGCTATTGCCTCCAAGTTTTAGTTTAATTGTGTTTTTCATGATAAGTATAAAAGGAAAAGATTACTTCCAAATAGAAAAAAGTATAGTTAAAATAGATTTAATTGATTTATAGGCACTATTTCTTTACTTGGAATATGAAGTTGACTATTTAAATTACTATTAATACTAAAAGTTCTGATCTTGATTATTTCATTTATTAGATCTGTTATTTCTATTATTTGTATTGCAACACAATATTTGCAAATAAGCTAGGGCTTTATAATAGCTAATCAACAATAACCATTTCAAAGTACTAGAGATTTATTACATATCTAAACAATAGCATCTAGCTTAGAAATATTTATTTTTTTGTTAAGTGGCTAGTAATTTAAATTGATAATTTTATTATTAAAATTTAATAATTGAATATTATATATACCAAAAATAGGCTATCTATTTTCTGTAATCAACTAATATCATGTAGTTAATGCTAAATTTCTTTTTCTAAATATTTACCAAAAGCAAAAAAATAATTGTTTTGCTTTTTTATTGTCTGTATATCTAAAAAAGGCTGCTTTTTATTAATTTTTTTACAAGGATCTATGCTACTTTGATGTAAACTTAATTGCCTCTTCAAGTTTTTGCTATTAACAAATTTCAAGTACTATTCAAATACTTTTTTTTTTATTTTTAAGAGTGTTTATTCCATATTTGTAACAATGTCTAACATTTAATTTCCCATCTAAATTCCTACCACTAGCAGATTTCAAATACTACTCGGATATTTTTTTTTATTTTTAGAAATGCCAATAACAGCTTATAACAATATTCAATATTTAATTGCTTATTTATATTTTTATTGCTAGCAGATTTTATAAACTATTCAAATGTATTCTTTTATCTTTAAGAATACCTATACTATCTTGATAACAATTTTCAACATTTAATTGTGTATCTGAATTTCTACTACTAGCATGTTTAAAGTACTATTCAAATATTTTTTTCTTATTTCTAAAAATACCTATACTATTTTGGTAACAATTTCTAGCATTTAATTATATATCTGAATTTTTTTCACAAGCAGATTTTATATACTATTTGAATGCTTTTTTTTTCTCTTTAGAAAGGTCTATGCTATTTTGATAGCACTTTTCAATATTTAATTTTCTATCAGAATTTCTACCTCAAATAGATATTAAATACTATTTAAATATTTTTTTTTTATTAATATAAACATCTATGTTACTTTGGTAACAATTACTAATATTGAGTTGTTTATTAGAATCTATTTCTTTAGTATATATTTCTTGAACATCATAAGCTAAGTTTAATCTATATTTCTATCCTTTATATGGGTTTAAAAATTTTTTATCAAATATTACTAGCTCATTATAATATTTATAATATAGCTAATCATCTAATTCAAGTTTTGTCTTTAATTTTAAAGCAGCTTCACTTTTCATAGCTTTAGACAAAAGATTGGCTTCAATTTACAGAACTATTCGTTAAGAACTTTATTGCTACATATTAAACATGATTTGGTATTTTTACATAGTAAACGTTTTGGCATTATCACTAGTAAAAGTTATGTCTATTTTGAGATCTTGAAAATTTATTTGAGGATCTTTAAATTTAGGGTTTTGTTAAGCATAAATATAAGGTTTTCAATTAAAAAATAAAACCTGTGACTTTGTAAAAAGAAGTAGTACTTTTTACTATTGTGACTAATGTGCTAAATAAATAAACTAATCAAAGTGAATTTAATATGAAACAAATTTATGACATTTACAATTTGTATTTACCTGATTGGTAGATATTATTCGTAAACATCACTAAAATTTCAAAATCCACTATATAAACAATATGTAATTTGACCAATCAGAATTAGCAGAACTTTGTACTATTTAAAAAAAAATATAGCAATCTAAAAAGACTTTAATTATATGTGAAGTTGATTTTTTTAAAACAATATGCAATATACAACATTATTATTAAACAACTTACATATCATGTAAATTTGATACAAATTAGTCAAAATATTAAAAAGTTTAATCAGAAGCATTTTTTTTTTACTATGTAAAAATCTAATATATCATGTAGATTATATGAAAAATGATCTACATACACTCTACCCTTATAGATGATTTTAGGTAGTGCACCCACAAAAATTTTCTTCACCAGTAAATTTATAAAACTGCATTATAATTAGGACTAGAGCAAGAATAGTATAAGGTTAGAATTAGAGTTAAGATTATTGTTATTAGTAAAATTTCACAAGGAACATTTTTAATTAGGCTGCAAAAGGTAGTTTCTTAATTAAAATTTCAAGTTATTTTAGTTTATTTGTAAAAAATGGTTTTGCTTCATTTGTTTACATTACACCTAATTGTGAAATTTGATTAGCCAAAATTCACGGGTGGGAAAAATTTTTGTCAGTGCGCTAGGAGAGTAGGGATGTTAATCGGTTCAACAGTAATTTTCAGCTAACTTTAAGCAAGATTTATAAAAAATTGGCATTTTTAGCCGATATTTGTCTAGTAAATAAAGTCATAGAAAAATAATTTTTTTGTTACATTTTCTAATAGAAGTTTATCAGTTTTTATATTAGTTTTTGTGTAATTTAAGGGTAGAGTAAACATTGATCAATTTTACTAATGATCACATTACCAATTTTTTTACAATAACATTCAATTGAAATCAGGTGATGATCATGTGTTATTTATATTGTATAACCTAGACAAATTTTGGTTATCCTAGAAAGAATTAGTGATATATATAAGTATATTTTTTTGAATATAACAGCAGTTTAAAATTATATGATCTTAATTAGACAGGTTTAATGTATATACTGTAAAAATTTCATAAAAAAAATTGTATTTTTAAAAACTTTTATATATAATGTATGTTCAATTTTTACATAAAATTTTTTTAGATGATATACATATATAGAAATTGATCTATGTTCACCCTACCCTTAAATGGGACCGATTAGGGAATGATTAGCTAAAATTTCTCCACACTGTTTGGTCCCTAATTGGTCCCATCAAAATTACTCAAAAACTAATGCAAAAACATATAAACCTCTATTAGAAAATATAACAGAAAAATTATTTTTCTATGACTTTATTTACTAGACAAATACCAGTTAAAAATGTCAATTTTTTATAAATCTTGCTTAAAGTCAGCTGACAATTACTGCGGAACCGATTAACATCCCTATAGGGGTTCTTATAGATGGGTGGCGAAATTCAAAAAAGGAAATTACAACAATATCAGATGATTATTAATTATTGTTTTAATTTCCTTTTTGAATTTCGCCACCCATCTATACGTACCTACCCTTAAATTTTATTTTCTATTATAGTTGTTTTCATAAATTCTGGACCAGCTGAAAAAGGTTTCCAATGACAAAATCGATAAGTTACTGAGTCAGTATAATTAGTCAGCAGACGTCAATTCGTTTATCGACAATTTTAAGTTCCTAGAACTAATGGAAACAGCTGTAAATAAATTAATGAGATCTTGACTATTTCAGACTAAAGTAATGCGAATTAAATAATTTTATAATGTACATATGGGGTCTTTGCCTTGAAAATGACCTTACGGTACATGATACCGTAAGGTCATTTTCAAGGCAAAGACCCCCATATATATTTGTGAATACATCATACTGATTAAATTAATACTGTTTCTGGAAAATTGGCTGTTGGAACTATCGTGATTTCTACTAAAAAATTCTATTACAGAACTGACCCGCAATTTTTTTACTACGAGTTACTGTAAAGAATTCAGTTATAAAATCTATTATTGCTAATGTGATTCGCATAGTAGTTGAGTTAGTAATAGCATATTACCATAAAAGATTCTGTAACAGAACTTACTCACTGCTTTATCACTATAATAGTATAAAATTGCATTAGAATTTTGTAAAAATTCTGTTATCATGATTTCTATTTATAAGTTACATAAAAAATCCTATTACAGAGCTTATTCACTATTTCAGTAATCACAGTATGTACGTGGATGAGTTGGTTGCATTGGAATTATTATGATTTATACTATGAGTTACTGTAAAGATACTCATCAATTCAGTACACATAGTAATTAAAGTTGTGCCAGTATTGGAATTATCATAATTTCTACGTAAAAAATTCTATTTTAGAACTTGCCATTTCAATAAAATTCTGTTACAAAGCTTACGTGCTATTTTGGTGACCACAGTACGTTGTTACTCGCTATTCCAGTGAATACAGTTTATGGTTGAACTGTGAATGTAAGAGAGGTTTCTTTGAGAGATACAATACTAAAATTAATAATCGCTGTAAAAAATGCTGGTAGTACACAATTCGAGAAGCCATTTTTTATATTGATAAATAGCCTCACAAAATCGACCAGAGGGTCGAAAAATCTTCTAGTCGATTTTTTGATTAACGGCTGGGATCACTATTTTATATTACTTTTATAATAAAGAAAAGCATAAAATTCTACTTATTTTTTCAATTTCTTCAAAAACGCTGCGCTGTAACTATTTGAAAGTAACTGCATTTTGATTTTTTGCAAGTTCTAACTAAATTTGAATTTGCATGTTTTAAAATATAGTTTTCACTCTAATTGATGAGCTTAAAGCATTCTACAAAACGAATGCCCAGGACATACATTTTAATAGAGCATTTTAAGACATAGTTTATTTTTAGCCATTTTAAAAATAACCTGCGAAAGATTCAAGGTAATTACTTGTTTCAGTAATGAGTTGAGCCATTTAGAATAGGTTACTTAATAATAATTGTCGCGGATCATAATGAAATCGGATTAAAATGAAATGAGGGTTTCTACTTGATCACATAATACTTGTTTATTATAAATTCCACCCTAAACCTTATCTTTAACCCTAATAAATGCTAAAAAAAAAAATGCACCTCAAAAATTGTATTTTACGGTAGCTTGTATGCAACCAACCCTCCGTATAATCACCCATATAAGCACATCTTATAAAACCTCTTGTTATCACATTTATATTTAAAACAAACTACCTTTTTATAGGCACAATACTTTATAAGCTAACTTTGGGTGATTATAAAAAAAGATTATTGTATTTTACACTACCAATCGTTTCATTTTAATCTTATTTCATTTTAATCCGTCACATTAATTTTGTTTTATTCATAATATTTTATGATAATTAGCACTAATGATTTGGGTTGAAATAATGATTGATAATAAATGTTTTAATAATATAACACGCTTTTTTGAAAAGAATAGTTTGTTTATAATTTATGAATTTGTTTTATTTAAATATATAATTTTAAATAAAATATAAATACATGATTTTAAAGCAAGTTAATAAACAACACTTGGGCCCAAGAACTAGATATTATGTACTTGAGTCAAATAGTAATAATAGAGATCGTCTAAAGCTATTTAGTATGCCGAATGATTTAAAATTTATGAACAGCTTTTCTTTAGACAGTCCTCTAATATAGGAAAAAAAACTGGATTACAACAATAATTCGAATGAAATTTCGAACAAGTGCTGAGCTGTCAAATAACATTAAATAAACAGTTTCAAGTCTCGATCTTTTTAGTCGGTTTTGAATCTTTGAATTTCAAAAATGATTTGAGGATGGATTTTGCTTCCGGCCTATTTTTAGGCTCCTCATCCCAACATTTTGTGTATAGCTTTACAAATTTTAGTGGGGTGCCTTCTACTGGTGTTTCTCTCTTGCCTTGGAATATATGAATGGCAATTGCCTCCTTAGATGTAAATGATTTGAATGGTATTTTTCCACTAGAAATTTCCCAGAGAATGACACCAAAGCTGTATATGTCAGATTTCATATCCAATTTATATGATGGATTTTTGATATATTGAGGATCAATATATGCAGGCATTCCATTTGACGTCGAAATTACTGCTGTATCATTAATATACTTAGATAAACCAAGGTCAGCAATTTTCATTTTTCCGTCATGAACTAAGATATTTTTGGAATGCTATAAAATATCATGATATTAAGAAATATTCAGGATTATAATTGTATTAAACAAATAATTATACTTACTAAATCGCGATGAACAATATTATTAGCGTGTAAAAAATTAAGTCCTTGTATTATTTCTTTAGCCATACGAATCCAATCACTCCACTTTAGCTTTAAATAATAGATTTTTAAATATTCCCGCAAATTTCCATTATTCGCAAACTCTAAAATCATGTTATAACACTCATTTGTTGGATCTGTTTAAAAAAAAAAAAGGTTGAATCTTATTAATTATTAAAATTTATCCATTTGCAATGAATGCAAACCTTTAATTAAACCATAGAAACCAATAATATTAGGATGGAGTGCAACTTTATGCAAAAGTAAAAGCTGTCAAAAATAATAAAAAAAGATTATCATTGGGTAATCTGACAGACTTTCGTATTTCAGGATTTTGAATTAAATCAGAAAGTTTCTGGATATACCTCTCTTGGATTTTTGTTGACCTTTATTTTTTTAAGAACAACCGCTATTCCAGAGCTTTTCCAGTCTAATTTACATACAGAACTATGCGCACTATCAGAAATTTTCTCTGGACAGCTAAACTCGCCTTGATCAAAAAAGAATATTCGCTCTTCACTAATTTCCTTTTCAATTGATGCTATAGGATTTGAATCCGACATTATTAATGCTTCAGATATTCTTTAGAGCATATGATTGAAATTTTTGATCTCTATATTTTTATATAAAAATAATAGTCATTCAATTATTATTGGCTTTTCTTTTTTTAGAGCCTTAGCCTCTTAAAAAATGGGGTTCAGAAGGCAACATTCTAATTGAAAATATTTATATTCCTTTCTTCGTGCTTTAACAATAACGCAGTTCATTAAATTAATCATGTTACACAAAACAATTTATTAGATAATGTATCGTTTTACATTGCTAAATTGCATTGTTTGTTGATTTGTGAACCACTGTATGTATAGAAATAACTGTAAATCAGTTGCCCAAATTTAGTAATTACAATACGTACACATGTTTGTAATTTTAATACCACTGGCCGATCTTTACTAATTTTCTTTATTATAATCGTTATCAGTACGTAAGAAGACAAAATTTTGTGATATAAACTATATTAGTTTTTAATCTAATATTTTATTCATTTAATAATTACAAGTTAATAAGAGACGAAATATTTATATGTAAAACAAAGAGCTTTGTTCTCTTCAATGAGTACTTCGATCTCTATAATATATGGTACAATATCATAAAATTTGGTTATAAAATTTTTTTTTGACACAAATTTCAATGATTATGGCGGGATTTATTGTCGAGGACTCAAATGTAGATGAAAATTCATGCGATGTTAGTCCAAAGCAATCCATAAAATCGAGAATTAATGGCTCCGTGATGATCAGTAGTAAGTTTAATAACGATTTTCTTGCACATATTTGCTTCGACTAATTTTCTAGTTTAGATGTATGCTCTTATGACTAGAATTATAAGTCTAAATATTAAATAGATTATTATAAAATCTCAAGAAAGTAGGTTACAAGATCAAATTTATACTTAGCTAAAATAATTTTATAATTTCATTAAAGTCATCCAAATAACAAAAAAATTAAAAAAAGTTATTTCATGCATAATTTAAACAGTTCCGTAACATTAAAAAAAAAAAACGTATATATCTAAGATCCTCTTCTTCACATTATAAGTGCACATAATTTGATCGATCCAATATAATTATGTAATATTTATTTCTCACAATAGCGAAAATGAGGGGTAAACCCCCATGGTCATTTAGGGCCCGAAGGGCTTTTCAAATGGCCGGAGTTATTCTCTGTATATATTAATAATTGGAAATAAGGGTGATATTTTTTCGTTCTGCATGATGTCATCTAACACTTATAATTACTTTTACAATATTGGAATTTTTTTCATTGGACGTAGCAGCACATGGGTGATATTAACTCCGAAAGTAATTTTTGTCATATGTAATGACATGAACAATATTGATGTTAGCCGATATATATATTTATTATATTACTGTGTGAAGTTTTTCTGTTTGATATTTTGCACAAATGATTACGTAACATGATCCCAAAGCTATTATGAAAAAAAAAATCACACGACCATTTAAAATGTCGAATAAATACTTTATTGCGGTTTGCAAAAAGGTAAAATCACGGAAAATTAGGCGATTTTTCGATTCTGAGAATTTTACAGATTTCATAAATAAATAAATATAAATATTACTGTTTGAAACATTCTTAACTGCCACCTCAATGAATTTACCGGACGATTTGGCTGGTCGAAAAACTGATGATTATCACTTAGGGTCAAGCATCCTACTATAACTACTAAGAAGGGTAAGTGGATATGTTTAACCGATTTAATTCTAACACATTTACGTGCTAACAAATTTTATACCCTGTATCAAAGATCGCAGGGTATAAAGCAGTCATACCTTGGGTACTATGTGTATAAGCGGAAACTTCATTTCCGCTTATACCCAATTACCCAGGATAGAACTATTACGAACGTGCTATACAAATTAACCCTATAAGAAAAATGTACTGTAATTGTATGGTTTGGCTCGGAATGGCACTGGTTTCGGTGGCACGGACCAAACCCGGGTTTTTTACGTGAGAGGCTCGAAGTGTCACGGATTTTTGGCTCGTGTTGGACCGTATACCAGTGCCAATTGGACCGTTAATGACTCGGGTTTTGCAACACTTTACTAGTCCATTTGGTACGGGTTTTGGTACGGACGTACGTACCATCATAATAAACAATATACATATTAAAACATAATTTACTTCAATTATCATCAATATTAAAGTAATTGCTTATGTGTAAAATTCTGCAAGGAATATTTTTCGTTAAGATACCCAGAACAATTTAATCGGTGAAATTTTGAGATATTGCATTTTTTTTTCATAAAAAACCATTCGCTCTTGAGGGACGTTCATATACGTATCATACAATACGACCACTTTGTCGTAATGTCCGTGCCATTTTTAGCCGTACCATCACGTAAAATGAGCCACTACGTGCCACACACCCGTATCATTTCGTGCATTCCTGAAACCAACCCGAGCCACAACCCGGACCACTTTTCTCATAGGGTAAGTAAAGGAGACGTTCATATGATAACCAATAAGTAAACACAAGTTTTCACCTTGAATTGAATATAAAAATTGTAAAAAGGTTTATAATTAAGGAATCCTCTAATGTCACAAATAACGATTTGTGACACTACCCAAAGGAATGGTGATAAATTTTTAATTAGCCGAAAATGAATAAATTAACCAAGTGAGTTGCCATTTCGATGAACAAGTCAATGAGATATAACTCATCTTTTTTTTCAAAAATTTATCATTAATATAGGTCGCTCAAGCATTTTTTTTACAATGAATTCTCAACAAATTTCTAACTAGTCTACTTTACTTTTATTGCTTTAAGCTTTTAAAAATACGACCCATCTTTTAACATTTATAAAACTTTAATGATGAGATTCATTGACTTATTCATAATAGCTAACCTGGATGATAAAGTGTGGAAGAAGATCCCAGTAGAAAAACTTAAGAGACAAGGAAGTGAAAAGTCTAAAGGCAGCAAACCTGAAGTCCTAGATAAAAAAGTTGTAAATTATTAAAACAAGGGAGATATTGATAAAAAAAGATACAATAAAGCAACATCTAATGATCATAAAACTTGGAAAATCCATTAAGAGATATTTGAAGTTTATTCGATCTTGTATGTGACTGTCAAAATAGAGTAGAGATCAAAAAGAGCGAATGTAAAATAGAGCTGTTAAAAAGCTTATTGAAGTTGGTTCTTAAGTTGACTTGGCAAGGACTTTTTGAAGTCAAAATTGTTATATCTATCAAAAATGACTACAGTAAAATATATATCTACTTATCTAGTAAGTTTTATTCTTTTTTGACTATACTATTTAGAAATTATTTATCTTTAACTCTTTATTCTACTTATTTTCTTTATATACAACACTGATTTTATATCTTTTTAACTCTATTTTCACTTTTTAATCTCTCTATTGTACTGACAATATTTGTAGTTTTAACCAATAACTAAAACAATATTTAAAAAGAATATTATTTAGTTAACAATCTAAATATTATCTTTTTAACTAAAACTAAACTAGCCTGTCATTCTTGCCAAAACTGTAATATAGAAAACCTTGGAGTGTTAACTATGTTACTTGGCTTAATATGCAGAGAGTAAAAAATATATATAAACAAAGATAAAACAAAAAAAACAAAATTAAACAAAACATAAGAGATAAAATAAAAGAGAATACCCAAAAAAAATAAAAACAAGATAAAAATAAGACAAAAATACAATAGATATATAATAGATAAAGAGTCAAAGGTATACACAATATAGTAGATATATAGCCAAAGAGAAATATCAGTTTATTAGATATAAAGTTAAGAAAATAGAAGACAAAACCTAACCTGCTTTAGGAAAAAAGACAGTTTATATAGCTTTAGAATTATTAAAAAAATACTACTACTATATTGGTAAAATATACCAAGGTACTATACTAAAGTACTATACTAAGATATTATAGTAAAGTACTATAATAAGATACTATACTAAAGTATATACTATATTAAAAGTACTACAGTACAGGACAGCAAAAAACATCCAATTTTTTTTTAAAAGCGCCAAATTTTGGGATTTATACTCAATTCTGAT